GTAAAGTAACGTATACCTTTGCTAGACACCCCCACACTTTGAAATATTTCAAGTTGGATTTTCTTTCTTTCTATTTTTCATATGGAATAGATTGCATTTTGTTGTGGGGTACTATGTTGAGTATTCAGTTAGCTGTAAGGATAGCTTCCCCCCACAAACTCTGCGGTAATCCGGAATTTATTAATAAATAATTCATCATTTCCTTTAATGTCCGATTTTTCCTTTCCGCAATTCCATTGGATTGAGGTGTGTAAGGGGCAGTAGTTTGATGGATAATTCCATATTCCGAACATATTTCTGCAAACGGAGATTCATATTCTCCACCCCTATCACTTCTAATCATTTTGATCTTTTTATTCAATTGATTCTCCACTTCATTTTTGTATTGCTTAAATGCTTCAATTGCTTTATCCTTACTATTGAGCAAATAAACATAACAATATCGAGTGCAATCGTCAATAAAAGTACTAAAATACTTTTTTCCACCTCGAGATGGTGTCGACTTCATATCATAAATGTCAGTATGAATTAAGTCTAAAGGATTTGAATTCCTTTCAACAGACTTATAAGGATGTTTTACAAACTTAGATTCAACACATATTTGACATTTTGATTTATTACACTCGAATTTAGGCAATGCTTCTAAATTAATTAACTTCCGCAAGGTTTTGTAATTTACATGTCCTAAACGAATATGCCATAAATCATTTGACTCCAATAAATAAGAAGAAGATGAAATTTTATTCATACCGTCAACAACCATTACATTTAGTTTGAAAAGGCTCTCTATGAGGTAGCCCTTTCAAACATACATTTCATTCTTGCTTACAACTTTGTCAGAAACAAATACACATTTGAATCTATTCTTAACAAGTAAAGAAGTAGAAACTAAATTCTTCCTAATAGTAGGAACATGAAGAACATTGTTGAATGTTAATACCTTGCTGGAAGTCATCTTTAGGAATATCTTCCCATAACCTTCAATCTTGGCTGTTGCAGTATTTCCCATGGAAAGGTCTTCTCCGGGTCCGGCAGTAGAGTAAGTCGCAAATGCTTCTTTGACAGCACAAACATGTCGAGTGGCTCCAGAGTCAATCCACCACTCCTTCGGATTTCCAACTAGGTTGCATTCCGAAAGCATTGCACACAGATCATCAATGTCATCATTTTTCTCCACTATGTTGGCCTGCCCCTTCTTCTTATCCTTTTTCGGGAGACGACAATCAGGGGCTTTATGACCAGCTCTTACACAATTGTAACAGTTGCCCTTGAATTTTTTTTTGCTCCGATCCTTAGTCTATTCAGAAGACCTCTTCCTCTTCTTACTTTGTTGGGTAGTCTCCTCAACGATATTAACTCCCATGATCATTGAATTTCCACGAGACTTCTTCTCGGCTGTTTTGTTGTCTTCTTCAATCTTAAGACGAATCACAAGATCTTCCAACTTTATTTTTTTGCGCTTATGCTTAAGATAGTTTTTGAAATCTCTCCACGAAGGAGGCAATATTTCAATCATTGCAGCCACTTGAAATGCTTCATTCACGACCATACCTTCAGCAATAAGGTCATGAAAAATAAGTTGAAGTTCTTGAACTTGGGTTCCAATGCTTTTGTTGTCTTCAGTTTATAGTCTAGAAACTTGGCAACCACAAACTTCTTCAAGCATGCATCTTTAGTCTTGTACTTCTTCTCAAGTGCGTCCCATAATTCTTTCGAAGTTTTCACAACACTGTAGACATTGTACAAGTCATCCTCCAAAGCACTTAGGATGTAGACTTTGCAAAGAAAGTCTGCATGTTTCCACGCCTCAACAATCATAAACTTCTCATTGTCCGGCATGTTGGCGGCATGCACTGGAGGGTCTTCATGGGTTAACTTCTACATCCAAGTGTGGTAAGCCATAAAAATACCCTTTGCTGCCATCCTTTGAAGTTGGCTCCAAAATATTTTCCCGATTTCTCGCTCGGTGGAACAACAGTTCGGCTTGACGAGGCTATCGTCGTTGTCGCAACAGTCGCAGAAGAAATATCATTATCAATTACCATTTCTCACTGTTAACAACAGAAGAGTTCAATTAATGGAAAAAACAGAATAGTAAATAGTATTGTAATGAATGATAAACAATACATTTAATAAATAAAAATCGAAGTTTTTATATACTGTTTCACAATAAACGATGAACTTTTTATGTTTTTCAAATCATTTCTGAATTTTAATAATCTGATGAAGTTTTTATATCTTCAAATCAGAATAGAAAAATTCATAAGGAGTAGAAAACTACATAGGTTTTAATCTCCAAAAAACAGAATACAGAATACAATAAATAATTTCCTTAAGATTGTTAAGCAATATATATTATTGTAATAAATAATGAAACAATAAACTTTCTGAACCAGAAAAAACAGAAACACAAAGTTAGCAACAACAGAATGTCGAAATAATTTCTGAAAAAATAATTTCGGAATAAATCGAGCCCACTGAATGCATGGTGTGTCCTTAAGAAAACTATTTCCCTCAAGTACCCGAGGTGATGGAATATTATCCTCCCAGGATAGAACAATTTAACTCACCAGAGTATTGGTACCAAAAATGCCAGAAATAGCGAACCACTCGAAGTCTGTAAAACACACTGGAATTTTTGTGCAGAAGAAGAAGAAGAAATCAGAAAATTTCGCAGGCAAATTTCTGGGTTTAAAGCATATTTATAGAATTTTTGGCACAATTTTCTAAAAAGGTTTGCAGCCTTTCAGAAACAGACATAGTTATTGGAACAGGTGGGGATATTTCTGTTTGAAATATTGCGGAAAAATAAAAAATAGATTTAAAATAATTCGGGAAAGAAAACGGACCGGACCGGGTCACGGGTCCTGGGTTATTCTGGGTTGAATTTTCGTTAATTAATTAAATAATTGAAAGAAATTTTGTCCAAAAAGATTAATCAATCAATCTTTGACCAAATCCGAATGCGAAGCCGAAGCCGAGCCGAGCCGAGCGACGATGATGGCGCGAGACTTACTTTCTTTCCAACCCATATAACACCAAGAGAAGTGCTTTCTCAATATAAGCACATTCACTTTTCTTTCCACCACCAATGAGGGACACTTTGCTTTTTCTAATGCAAAAGGGAGCTCACTTTCCCTCCTCTTTCTTCCCTCCATTTCCCATTCACCAATCTTTAATCCCAACACTAGCTACCTATACCTCTCTCTGTTCGCTCTCCTCTCCTCCTCACATGTGCTCCCTACTAACTTCAGGTACGCCGCCTTCTTCGCTTCTACTTTACCTTGGACCACTTCATTCTACCACCAGTCTCCTTTGTGCCCGCTAAAGTAACCCTTCGAGTCGTCGACCACATATCGCTCGTGTCCCCACTACTCCTCCGGCTCTCATAACCAATAAACTCTCTTCCAACTCTTGAGCTTTATCCTTAGTCAAGGCTCCCCACCTGATCATTGGTCGTCCTCGTGCAGTCCTCGTTTTCCTCTTCATCATGATACCGACGTCCATCACCTAGAGCCTATGCTGTGTCACGAGGGTCTCACCTTGTTAATTGGGCCAGACTGACCCGTTTACAGCCCGGTTCAGTCCGGTACTGTAGCGTGGGGGGCGGGCTGGGACGGGTTGGGCGGGGAGCGGGTTTCAAAAGAATAGTTTTTTGATATCGGTGCACCGGAACCCGCTAAGACCGTTAACCCGTTAACGGGCTACAAGCCGGTTCAGCCCGTTAACCCGTTAATGGGTTGTTAACGGGCTATAGTCCGGTTCAGCCCATTTTTTAATGATTTTTTTAATGGACCAACTGAAACTACTGATATTGACACTTGTATTTCTGATCTACACAAATATTTAGAAATATTATATAATTATTATGCTAATATTGTTGATGCTTCTTCTGCTATAGATGCAAATATTCCTTCAAGTTCAGTTTCAACATCTGGGACTAGTGCTTTGGATGATAATGATGGTGTTGAAAATTATTTGATTTGGTCTACACTAGGGGAGCATCAACAAATGAGTAACATGAATGTTGATGAACTTCAATTCTACTTGCAAAAGTCAGCAGAGCCCCGCACCAAGGAATTTTTACCACTGGGTTGGTGGAGGAGCAACTCAAATAAATTTTCTGTTCTTTCGGCCATGGCTCGAGACGTGCTAAATGTGCCGATTTCAACAGTCGCATCAGAGAGCGCATTTAGCCAAGCAAGGCATCAACTAGGAGATACCCGTCATTCATTGGGTAGCAACGCTTTAGAAATTCTAGTGTGCTTCAGAGATTGGATAAGATCATAACGACGAAATCAAGGGCGTGATGAGGTAGATGAAGCGGAGGACCAAGAAATTGGAGATATAATGGTTTATGGTGATGATTCAACCAATGCCGGAAACCAAGAACCTCATGTTGACATGGATGAACTTACAAAAATGATGCAAAGCATGTGATGTACTAATTTTTTTTATATTTTTTATAATTGTCGTAAATTTTTAATTTGCAAGTTCAAAAATAACAAAATCAAAAAAGAACTTGCGACTTAATTTGAAGTATTATATATTATTCAATAAAAATATCAAATGAAAGTCTTCGGAGCTTGATCCTTACATATTGCCAATTGATCTTATTAAATAATTTTTTGTAGCCACTTACTTTCAAATTTCAATTTTAAAATTATAAAATTCAAATTTTAAATTTAAAACTTTAAACTTCAAAGTTTAATTCTAAGCTTTAAAAGTTTTCAAACACTTAAGTATCAATAACATTGAATAAGAAAAATAAAATTTATTTAAAAAAAAAGAAAATTCCAAGACCCACTAATAGCCCACTAAGCCCGAACCCAGACGGACAAAAAAAATCTGAAAAAGTACGACTCGCTAAAAGGCTAGTAACTCAGCCCGCAACGTTAAACAAACATGCTTTCGTGTCAGGCCCGTCCAAGCCCGTTCCGGTTCCCTCGTTAAACGCCCATAGTTTATAAGCATCGCAGGCATTCTTATTTTAAAAAAAGTTTTGTTAGAAAGATTTTAAAAGGTCTCTTCGTGTTTTTCGGAGATAAACTCGTCTCGACATAGAGAGAAGAGAGAATTGCAAGAGAGAGAGAGAGAGAGAGGGGTAAGTAATCCTATCACCATTCCATTGATCTCCTTGATTTAGCGTTTGATCTTACTTTTGAGTCCCAATGGCTGTTGTATAAAATTTGCAGGAGGTACCATTGGAATATTCAGAAAGAGTAATAATAATAATATAATGGAAGAAGTGGTAAGAAGCTACTCTATCGGAATGGAACAATATTTGATTTCTGGATTTCGGTGATGTTTATCAATCTGCAATTAATTAATACCGGGATTCACTCTCTCTTTTAGGCACAAGAATCTGAACTCCAATGTGAACATGCTACATTGCAAACTAAGGTTGATGAGTTTGACCAACTACTGCAAAGAGGCAAAGAGGGAAACCTTTTGGACCATACTTTTAGGGATTCCACTGAGAAGCTTCATTCTGCAAAGAGGGTAAGAACATGCTTTACTTTTCTCATTCTGCTAACTATCACAAGCAACTAATAGATTAAATTATGGAATTAAGTTTTGTTTCAACTAGAAGAAAACAGTATCCAAAAACTATTTTCTTTATCATTCTATTTTCCTTTTCTAATTCAGCTTCATAAATTTGGCAAAAATGTTATAATTTTTCCTTGATCACTTTCCTGTATTGAGTTTAAGCTTCTGACGTAAATGTTGTATCCTATCATGTGGATTTATGTTTCGTTATTTTCGATGATGATACTATTGTTATCTAAACCTAGTTTGTAGTTTCAACACCAACTTCGTGTGATTCAATGAGATGTTATTTGCTATATTAAAATAAAAATTAGATGAGTTTGGCTTGTAACTTGTTAAGGTTGTACAAGATTTACCGTTAGTTAGGATTGATTTGACTGATTTATTTGTAATTACACACTTACCACACTGTAAGAACTTGTAGTTGCTATATATTCCCAGCCAAGCTCAAAGGAATAATCAAACTTTTGAGTTGAATCCTCTCTAATCTCTCTACTCATGCCATTCAACGATTAAGGAATCCAAGTCAACTATTGGAATTTGGCTCTAGGCCATCCAACCATAACCTAGGGTGACGTCTTGATTCAACCATTCTATTCCCATCCCGCCTTTAGGTCATTAATACCATTTATGATTATTCAATACCATTTAATGCACCAAACCACTATTTGGATTCAACATTACATCATAACAACCTCCATAAATCCCCCCCAAGTGAGTATCATCTCAACCTTTAAACAATGACCAAACTCCACCATATATCATCTACCTATATTATTATAGCTCATACAACAAGCCCAAGAAAGTGAAATTACCTCAAGGTATCAAAAACCCAACTTCTTGATTTTTGAAGAAACTTTGTGGAATTTGGGTTTCTAGGCAAAATCATATGTTTTTGGAGGTTAAGATTCACATTAATGAGCATTAAATAATCCAAATGACTTAATGATCTCACCTTTTTGTTGGATCAAGTTTTGGGGAAAATTCTTTATAGAAGTTGCGTCCTTGCTCAAAACTTCGAGAATTGGGAACAAAATCTCGACTCTCAGCTTTTATAGTGCTAAGGCCTGATACCAGTCAGCAATGGTGCTCTCACATGGTTAAAGTCTCTTCTTCACATCGTGTGGCCTCGCCATTCATGACATGGTCAGCCTACCACATGGGCTTCATGCATTGGCCACTCAGTGGCCCTCAGATGTTTTGCCTCGCCGTGTGAACTCCCTCATCCTAGATCATGTTCCACGAGGTGGGTCATGCTGGCACGCTATAGTGTGACCCACCTGTGGCCTTCACGTGGTAGCATGATCAACCTGTAGCTGGTCCAACTTTTTAATTTCATAAGTTTCCTTTTCGCTATGATATTCACCCGTGTCACCTCCAACTCACTTCCACCACCCAAATCAACATCCACTTCAATATTCAAACGTCATAATCAATTATTAACACATAAACATCAACCAATTGGCTCATTTTAATTAATGAAACGTGTTTAAGTGTATGTAAAAACTTGTGGGGCATATGGATTGACCCCGGATGCATAGCCACAAGCTTTGTCAGCTTGAGGACAAGTTAGCAGATGTTCCTACTAAATCCGTAGAGGACCTTGGATTCAATACATTTGTAACAAGCTTGGACTTTATGATATGTATGCTCTAACTTGAGGAGTGGTAAAACTGTGGGAGAGTTACTATTAATTGGAAATTGATTTTATTTGGAATTTGATTATGATTTGATTCATAATTTATACTTACCATACTTTAAACACTTGTAGATTACTCTAAATTCCCTACCGAACTTGAGGGAATAATCAAGCTTCTGAGTTGAGTCCTCTCTAATTTCTCGTGGCCGACCAATTTGAGAGCTTTTCTGTGATACGCCACAGACAGAAGTTTATGCTTTGTTTGTGCGGCTTGGATGTTCATTACACATACCTAGATGCGGCTTCAGTTTTACCGAAGTTATAAAGAATTTGATGGACCCTGAATTAAATCAACTTTTTTATTTAGTCAATGTTCTGTGGTCTTGGCTTGTTGCTTTGTGAGTCTTCTGTATGTCACTGCTACATTAGCATGCCCTTTCCATTTTATGTTTGGAGATATTAGTTGTTACTCGGATTTTGAAGAATCTAGTTGATAAGCTTATTAAAAAAGAAGAATTACTAGTTGATAAGGACCGATATTGATTGTGCTTTACCCCCAGAAAGGAAGTAAATAAATTCACACTTGTTTAGAGTGGATGTCTAGAAACACCAAGAATCTAAGGTAGGTTTTGGCTCAAAAAAGGTAATCTAAGATGAAAGTACGATCTTGAGGGTATAAATTCTCTGTGCTAGCCTTGATGGTTATGGTAGGAATTGAAGATCATTATTGGGATCAAAAGGATGCTTTTGACATTTGTCTTCCATAGCCTGTTGTTATTTGCGGTTTTCAACTGATTATAAGCTTTAAATTACATGCATGTTTTTGAAAAAGAATTCTTTTCAACTTTAAATGTCTGGAATGGACGAAACAAAGGACATAATACAACATCAATTTTCTCCCAGAGTGCTTTGGCCTTTTCATCTCCATCACTAGCCTTCTTGGTTAGGTGATCTTGAACACCTTGACCCTTGCACCACAACTCAACAGAAGAAGCCCATGCTAAGTAGTTTGAACATCCCATTAAGGGTTCCGAAGTAATCATCAAACTTGAATTTCCAGAACCCGTGCTTTTAGAACCAAAAACATCAAATCCTAAAGATATTGTTGGATCAGGTTTGCTAATTTAAGTATGACAGTGTCCTTGATATGCAACGGTGTGATATGCAGTTATTTTGTCTGTCCTTGTAGCTTCACCTTTCAATTTACATGGGATGCATCTTTCTATTTAAATTTACATCATCTTCTTTTTCATAAAGTAAGATTAGAAGCTTACAGCATCTTTCTACTTAAAACACAGCATCTTTGTACTTAAGGTAAGATATACGGTTAATCTTTGATAGGAACTTGCAGCTAAGCTGCGGTCAACTCTGTCATTGAAACGGCTGCTCGAGTATGTGCCATCACAAGCTGAACTCATTCAGTACGTTCTTCTATTACTGCTTTTCCCTTCTGTGCAAAAACTTTTCCTCCCTGCTGAATTTAAAAATTCCTTTTTAGTATGCTCAGAAATATAAGGAGTCAGGCTTTCTAAAAAATGTTTTTTTTTTCCTTAACAAGAAAAAGAAATATAAGGAGCCGTGCATGTTGCGTTGGTGTAGAACTGTTTTATTGACTTAAAAACCAAGTAAACTCTAGCTCTTTGAAAACTTTTATCTGGAGCAAATTCAAGCTAAGGAATATGTGGGAGTCTAACCTTATCTAAAGGTACTTGAACTCTTTAAAGAGTTTCATCATTTATCAATGAAACCTCGTTTCATCGTAGTCCAAATCTGGTAAGCTCTTAAATCTGTGAAGAGGTTTTTGCTTTCAAGAATTAATGGAGTAGCTTTTAGCTACGATATTGATAGAGTAGCATTTAGCTGCGATATGAATAGAAGCAATCGGTTATGGTATTGATTTAGAAAACCCTGGATTGGCTTTTCACCTGCTGTTTATCTTGGTTTTAGTTTGTTAATGTAAATATCTGTGATAGCTGCCTTACTATTTTATATATGTTTCAACTTTCTAAGTGAAAGAGGACCTGTGTACAAAATTTAATAGAGGATTTTCTGTTTGAGATTTATAAATGTCTCAGAGTTTTACTGTTGTGAAGTAGCTAAGCAGGAGGTGGGATCTGATTCTCCAGCATCCCTCCATGATGATTTTGGAGATGAAAACTGCATAAGAGCAAATTAGCTTGTAGGGTGTAGATGTATTCTGATGGATTATGTTCAATGGTCTTTTTAGTTTCTTGATTATTTAGGTAATGTTGAACTTCAGTTGTCTTCTGATATTGTGTAAGCAAGAGCAATGCGCTGTTGTCAAAGGCGCACTTTGAAGCGAGGCGCAAAACATGCTGAGCGCTTCGCGTCGCTTAGCAGGCGCTTCAGTGTTGTCATCAATGCTCTAATGCATACTTTTCCATGCAAATGAGCGTAATCTTGAAGAGGTGACACTAAACAATTGATCACTTTATCGTTATCTATTTCATTTTCTTTATCCATATATATGTTATTCATGCTTATACTTATTAGTCTAGGACTACACATACATCTTTGTATTTTTCCTCCATTGCGCCTTTCTTCATTAAAACCCACACTTTATTAGTGCTTTGCGCTTAAAGCCCAGCGAACCTTAGAGCTTTTTTACGATTTTCGCCCTTGATAACTGCAATGGACACCCTTGAATATGGCTGATTTCAAATTTAGTGCATTCATTGCTTACTACTGGAAGTATCAAGAATTTTTTCCTCATCTTTTTTTTCATTGCTGATGTCAATTCCTTCTCTTAATGTATTAATGTTCCTTCTAGTACCTTATCTCCTAAAAAGTAAAAACGTTAATAGGAAAAGAGATGAGGAAAACTTGCATATACTTTGGGAACATAGAGTCAAATGTTATGTTGTCTGGAATCATTCGTTCCCTATATAAATGTGTCTTAAAACTCAAATTTTGACTCTGCTGCTCCAATAAAACTACTGAAGTTTTTCACTGTTCTTAAAAACTTATAGGAGGCAAGTACATTGTTGTAAACGCCTGCAGTTTTTCTTTAAAAAGGGGCAGGGTGATGGGAGGGGAGTTGAACGCTCTAAATTTTACTTCGTCAATAAGACATTCCCTATTTGATTCTAGAAAAACAAAATAAGGCATTTCCGTACGATAGGAAAGTTTTTAGAACTAATCATTGTAGATGGTTAACTGGTTAATTATCACTTGAAGTTTTGTAAAGATGATACTTGTACCAGCCACCGCGACTTTCTTATACAATTGGATTCTTTGCTTTCGCTGCTTGTTTCTGTTTTCAGTTAAAGAGCACCTTAGATATGTGAAAAAGTTTAAGTGTGGCATGAGTCAAATAAACTAACAGTTCCAAGTAGCATTTTTTGGCTTCATGTATTTATTATTGTCCTTAGGTATGAGAAACTTTGACACTGTGATTTCAAGATCATTTATCATCTCCTCTATCATCTGGTCCAACTTTTGATGTTTGAACATATTATCATGTAGTTGAACAACAAAAGTGGAGCACTAGTTTTGGAGATCCGGAATTGTTCATCATATTTATAGTTAAGGAAAGATACCGGGACAAAGAGTAGAAAATTAGATGGTTTCACATATCAATTACCACAACTCTTGTTATAAAGCCTATTAGTATGTATAGTGTAGTCTTGTCCAACATTGGAAGAGGAGTAATATCTCCTTGTAGTGTATAGCTATAAATAGGGACATCTTGTATTGTATTTATCATCTAATATCAATAACATATTTTCTCCCGTGCCTTCTCACATGGTATCAGAGCATTAGTGAGAAACCCGTCGCTGTGCATCATTCCAGCGACTTCCGGGAAGAAAGACCTCTTCGCCGTGCAATTTTTCGGCGACTTAGAAGGCTGTCCGTAAGCAAATCACTTTCTGTTGGTGTTGTGCAAAAACTAATACCACCACAAGACTCCTCAGGCTTCGGCGACCAAACCCCAGTCAACCCCACCGGAAAACACGCGTTCATGCGCCTGGAAAAGAAATTTTTTTCCGGCGAGATCTGACCCACGAGCCGGCGTGTGAGCACTGTTCCGGCCAGATTTTGAAAAAGTTCCAGTTGAACAGTAGGATCGCCTGGTAATTCCGATCCTACCCTTACTGGTTTTGTTTCATTCCGACCACTTTGAATTTTTCTGTGAGCTACAGTGTTCCCGGCGTATTGAGTTTAGCAGATTATATTGAGTTCCTTCAGTACAAAGCATGTAAACAGACATCTCGTAGCGACATGGGAACCGATGCTTTGAATAGTCGGATGGTTTCTTTAGCAGATTATATTGAGTTCCTTCAGTACAAAGCATGTAAGCAGACATCATCTGAGATAGCTTCTGTTGTTCAAACAGGTAATAGCGTGACTTGTTTCTCCCAATCTTCATCCTCTGAGTCTTGGGTCATTGATTCAGGTGCATCAGATCATATTTCTGGTAACAAATCTCTTTTCACTACTATTTCGTATTCTCAATCTCTTCCAAAAGTCAGAATGGCCAATGGGTCTCAAAC